AAAACTTGTTCATCTTATCAGTGAATGACTTTAGCTTGCTTTATTTCGCATATATTTTGTTTTCAAACAACGTTTATTTGTAGTCATAAGACCATATATAAAATGCGAAAGTTCAAAATTCACACATTACTTAACCAATAGTCCAGATAAATCTGCTGTCAGTAATTGAATAAAATTAATCATTTCCAAGACAATAAAAACTGCACTGACCTCTGAGTCGAATTTGCAGTTGGCGATTATGTCACGATTTAAAATTTACACAACACGCGACGAAAATTATCCACAGAGAGATATCGGATGGTTTGGACTTATTAGGCTCTGTAGAGTGAGTCGACCGGATAGAGGACTAATGATCTTGGTTCCAAATCAGTAAAATAACACTCTAGTGTCCCAATTCCTTCAATTTGGTTAGCCAGAGATACTGGTTGCAATGAGTGGTATCCGACTAGTTATATTAATCAGGCAGTATAATATGGAATTGTGCACAAAAATTTGATTTGCACAAATATTTTAGCACCGCAAATAAGAATCATATAAACTTAGTCTGTCTTCGACACTGAGAAACTGCTTAATCTTATGCCACAAGTAGTTTGTGTAGTTATTTTATATCAAAATGAGGTATGACTTACTCCTATGTGAGTCATAGCCAAACTTTATGCCTAGGTGATTCTGTGATATATACACGAGTGCTAAATTACAGAAAGCTGGATTTAGTTACAGTTAAAAACAGTCCTACGAGCAGTGTGAGACTTCAACACACATTCTCAATGACTGTGATACCAAGCGGTTCACTCTAGTCTGGTTGACAAGAGAAATGCAATATGTGGTTGACATGGGTTACAGTCAATCACAGTCAACCAGACACATTCATGTCACCCCCACTTTAATGCCACCACAACAACATTCCTCTTTTCTATCTATACTTTCTTCACTTCTCATTCATATCTCCAATTTCGAGGTTTACATAGTGTGAAATCGAAAAACACTGTGGTGACTTGCCTCACATGAGCACAAGTATTCGATCAGTTAGTGTGGTGAACACGATGAAGTCATTTGATCTTTGATTTCGGAATATATTCTACTGAACTTCATACAATTGGTTCCCTTGATAAATTCAATAAAGAAAGGAAGACGAAATTTTCAGTATAAAATGATGTCATCATTCTATTTCACGGGTTCTCATCAGCTGCAGACTACCTGAAATTACAATGGTTTTATAAATGATAATAACATACATATGAACTGTGATCAAGATTTGACCGGATAGTTGCAAAACAAGTGGGCGCCGTGTGAGAAGTAGACATTTATAAAATTATATTTGTAAAATCTCAGCGAAATAGAAATGATTAATCGCAACGTTTCGTTCACTGAAATTGACATAACAGAGGTTTTTATACAAAAGGAACAACTCTTGTCTTTGAACCTTATCTTTTTATATATAAACATACAATTTTGTTTATTATACATGTTGATGACTGTTTCATGGCTCATGATTGGAGAAAGGTTCAAAAACAAGAGTTGTTCCTTGTGTATATAATTCTCTGTTTTGTTAATTTCGATTAATTTCCCTGAAGAAGTTCGGACCAGATTGCCGAACGAAACGTTGGAATTAGTCATTTCAATTTTACTGAGATCTTACAAATATAATTTTCAAGATAATAACATACTTTAATGTTTCAGTGGTAGTAGAGAAGAGATACTGTAAAACTGACGCATCCGAAGTGAAAGCATTACAATTTTAGTTTAAGTTTTCATCATTAATTAATACGCTTGAAGAGTTGAAAAGAGGGGGAAGGTGTAAGACAGAAAACAGAAAAAATTGATTAATTGAAAAGTGTAAGCTTGTATTATTGTAATCAACAATTAATCATCTAATTCAGTGATCTCAACTCACTGAACAAATCTTAATCTAAAAGTCAACCTGAACGAAGAATATTCTTTTCAATAATTTCTCTTCAGGTCCTTACTGTAACTGCCTTTGTTTTTTAGAGTTGCTATTTGAACCTACAATAATTAGTCATCTAATTCAGTGACCTCAACTCACTGAACAAATCTTAATCACTGAATAAATCTTAATCTCATAAAATGTAACCGCTTTTGTTTTTGAGTTGCTATGTGAACCTACAAGCTAACACTTTTCAATTAATCAATTTTTACTGTTTTCTGTCTTACACCTTCCCCCTCTTTTCAACTCTTCAAGCGTATAAATTGATAATGAAAACTTAAGCTGAAAATTGTAATGCTTTCATTTTGGATGCGTCAATTTTACAGTACCTCTTCTCTACTACCACTAAAACACTAAATTATGTTATTATCATATATATAACCATTGTAATTTCAGGTAGTCTGCAGCTGAAAATTTCGTCTTCAAATGTCGGTTTGTAGGGATTGGAATTGGTAACAGGATTAAATCATGAGCTGACATCAGCGAGAGAACCACTGGAAAACCTGGAAGTACTGGACAGCTATTTCGTCCTGGTTTGGGACTCTACATCAGTGCGGGATTCGAACCCAAGACCTTCTGGTTACCAGGCAAGGTCGTATACCATTAAGCCACTGGGATCCGATTCAATGGCCCATGAATTCTAACTTCTGCCAATGTACGTCATAGCGCGACCCCTAGCCAATGTCTTCGGCGAGTTTTTGAAATCACACCAGACCTGCTCGCCTTGTAAACAGAAGGTCCTATGTTTTAACTCCGGTGGCCGCGTACTGATGAAGAGTCCCAAACCAGGACGAAAGAGCTGCCTAGTACTCTCAGGTTTTCCAATGGTTCTCCAGCTGATGTCAGCTCATGATGAAATCCTGTAACCGAATTTCATCTTCCTTTATTTATCGAAATATTCTACTGAAATTGATTTGTTTCGTACCACTGTGCGTGAAAATGTATGAGAGTGAGGAACAGAGAGAAAAATGTGATGACTTTGCTGAGTTTCTGAGATGGAAGGCAACTTTTGCACAGTTTAATAAACAGTACTGACTGACTTAATTAGATCTCTGGTTCTTGTGTCACATGAGACATTGAGGTTTTGTATTTTTCACTGGAAGAATGTTTGAATTTTGTATACTGTGATTGTGTGGTTGATTGTGATTGTTTCTTTCATGAAGTCAGGTGACTAATCATTGAATGAAATGTGCGGCAAATATCAACTGAGAGGATTTTTTTATATTGTGTGAAGCATAAAAATCAAGTAGTTGAATTATTGAAAATGCGTCACTCATATGTGAGGTATCTCCACATAGATGTATTTCATTGTGATTAGTATTAATTCAGCAGTATTAGATTCAACAATGAAGAAGAAGACATTAGTGACGCCTTCTATTCGTTTTTTTAGTGTTATCTTTTAGTCTAGTTGATCATTAGAGATGCTATTGCAAAGCATTTTCTGAAATGTTTCAGTGATCTCAGAAATTTGAAGCTTAGTTTTTACGACTTGATGAGTTCTAGCTGAAGCCATATTTTTCATTGTTGCATGTGACATACATATTCTCTATCTATGGATGCACTTCAGAAGCTTCGACGACGGTTTAGTAGACTATTTTTTCACTCGTCATGTATTATACTACTTAACTTCTTATATCTGGTCTTATTTTTAATTTAAGCAGGAAACTATTCATCCTACTTTCAAATGTCGTGAATTGGACACTCTAGGTGTATTTGAATGAGTATAGTTGTTTCTGAGGTATATGTCAAAACAAACATATCGAGTTCACCTCATTTCATAGAAAAATGATTATTCCCAGTTAGTTCTCTTGGAACTTCGTGTGAATAGGACTATGGAAAATGGTGTTTCGCTGTAAATTCACTTTCGTGGTAAAATTTCCGATTACGCCAACCACTCTTGTATTCATGTTTTCCTTCATCAACTCTTGGAATGTTAGACTATGTAATAGAATGAAAGAAGTGTATACAAAAGATGAATTTTTCAGTATGATTGCTACTAGCTTTGATTTACTAACTTCCTCCCTCCCTTCCTTCCTAATCAGTCTGGTAGTAAAACACCCTGATTCTCTGTATGTGTTTGATTCACACCACGGTATGTCTTCTACAGTTTACTCAATTGAGATTACAATATGACTACACCAACGTAATGTATTAGGGTTAGAATTAATTTGCACTTCCTCCTCTCTGTTAAATTGCTTCCTTTAAATTGTATTCATTATTGATTAATGCAAAACACGGACTTTGAAATTTATCAAGAAAACTGTGGTTTCAAAAGCATGAATGTTATTTTAATTTTCTGATCATCTGTGACTCTACTAGTCAAGTGGTTCATCTTAACTGCACTCTTTAAAATTTCTAGAAATATGTCACTGAAATATGATTTAGGACAATACAACCATACTGGCATCAATATAGTCTGTATTATTAGTCCAACTTTACTAATAAGCCGCCTGACATTCATGAATATCAAGGTGCTTATTTAGAATTCTAACTACTTATACGTGACGAAAAGAGCAGCTCTCCTCGAGAGGATGATATTGTCTGCATACCCCAAGTCAATCCTCGCCTAGTATACTTGCCAGTAGTAAGCTTGGAGAAAGAGGGAAGGTTTTGCGTGTGGCTGGTCACCCTTCTCAAAAGGAAACCAAGCTAGTCACTCCACAAACTTCAAAGCACAAAACAAGAAATTTGGCAAAACCTATTCGTTACTAGAATCCGGAGGAACAAATGTCACCACTTGGTGAAAGCCTTCGCGAAGCCAGTCAACTGTTGTGTCTTCTCTCGATGTAAGAAAAAGTTAACAAAGCGACATGGAATATCCACATCATGTTTCAGGCTGGAAAGGTTGCTCAGATTTCAGAAGAAGCGAGAAGATAGAGTAGAGAAGTGCTACAAATCTGTGAGATCAGGTGGAATGGTAATGGACTTTACACATTTGTCTGTATATATGTATTGCTGGTAGATGAGGTGAAGCAAATAATCAATCAATTGATCAAAACTGATTTGGGTTTTAACTATCGAAAAATTGCATGATCTGTAGTCAAAGACCTAATTTATGTCAATAATAAATGTAATCAGTATTATTTATTATTTCAAGGTGAACTAGCATTATATTTAACATTTAGGCCTTTAAACTCAGAAGACACTTTTGAAATTTACTTTCCAAGATATGTTTATGTTTACTAAAGATCAATACAACAATTCAGACGAAATGTTTCATGTATTACTGATATAAGTATAAAACTTGGCACTGTGGTAGAGTATAACTACATTATAGGCAAGATTTTATTTTAATAAATCACATAGTGTTATACAGTAATATTAAATGATGACTTTTTGAGCACAAACTATTGCTCATAATCATATCAAGGCACTCACACAACTTTTTACTTCATTTTGTTTGAGTGACTTGAAACGGTTATGAACGTTATCAGTTAATATTACTGTATAACATTATGTGATTTTTCAGAATAAAATCTTATCTATAGTGGGGAAATATTTCATGGCTTGCTGGTGTTCTTTGTCTTTTGTTTTCAAATTGTAGTCAGCATAAGTTCATTGTTCTCAAATAATAAATAGTTGTAATTATTTTTTAGTAGTTTTATTGACTCAGGAGTACTGACAAGGGCATGTTGGAATTTACAGTAACTGACGATAGATGTAGTGAAAAGTTTGAGGCTGCAATTTTTATTTTTAACTATCTGGTTAAATATAATGAGGGGATATATGTTCAGTGTGTTAGCGTGATAAATACATACTTGCGTGTTGTCTTTTACCATAATACAATAGATAGTGCGTCGGTGGCACAGCGGTTAGGACGCTAGTCGACCATGCACATGATCCGAGGTTCGATCCCCGGCCGACGAAGCACTCCTTTACCTCGCTAAGCCAGAAATAAAGCTGGTAAGGAGGAAAGGTTGGGGATGAGGCTAGCAACCCCATCCTGTAAAACTAAACACTGCTACAGAAACTTCAAGCAACTAGCTTGAGGCCCTTTGTTCCACTGGGAGCCTGAAGGGAAAAAAATGTATGCGTGGTTACCACAAAAACATACTAGCCTCAAGGATATAGATGTGGTAGTTTTGAAGAATGTTTCACTAAAGATATTTCGTTCTAATGATATCGCATGAGACAGTTATTTTTGAAAAGATGTACTAGTCAGCTGTAATCCTTACACACCATTTTGTAATTTTGATATTTTCTCAATCTATCCTACCTTTAAATGCTTTTCTCGTTGCTTTTTATGTAGACGTTTAAATTCCCCAGGTTGTATGTCATTTCATCTCTTATTTTTTGACCAAATATGAGCATTAATTCATGTAAGCACTAATACGTGTATTAGGAATGATTCAACATCTGTCCGGGACATCTGGAAAATTCTACCATCCCTACGACGAATAGGAAGAAATAAAGAAAACTATAACGAAAGGGGATTTTTGAAGTTGTGTAGTTATAACTGAAATGATTATGGACAATAAATTCTGTTGGAAACGTCATCCAGTAAATAATACTGTTTCAGTGTGTGATAAATTTAACAAAGAAATCAATATGTAATTACAAACTGTAAGAGTGCCAAGTTTTACGCATTTGCCAATTATCCTAATACAAACTTCAGAATTTATAGGCTTAAATGAATCAGTAACATTCAAAAGGATTTTACGAGTTGATCACGAGCCATTGAATCGGGTCCCAGTGGTCGATTGGTATACGAGCTTGCCTTGTAACCAGAAGGTCCTGGGTTCGAATCCCAGTAGGTGTGTACTGCCGATGATTCCCAAACTAGGATGAAACAGCAGCTGTCCAGTACTCCCAGCTGGTTTTCAATGGTTCTCTAACTGTTGTCAATCCATGATCAACTCGTAAAAACATAACTAACCCTTACAAACCAAACTATAGAAAATTCAGAAAGGTACAAAATAATCTGTTGTTTTACAAAAATTCGCTAAGAGAATTAAGTTTGTCAGGATAAACTACACGCTAAAAGTTCATTGTTGTCCAGTTGGTTAGTTTTCCATAATTAATTCTTTAATCAATCCATATTTCTTATATACAGACTTCAACATTGTTATTTTTGAGTTCTATCAAACTGAAGTTTCCCAAAGATTTACGTCTGATAGTAAACAAATTGTATCAAATTGTTAGACAAATAGTTTCACATCAGATGTACTAGCATAGGCTACCTCAGGTTCCGTAAACAACATTTAATTTTTGTTTTACTCATATCCCGTTATCAGTCAAAATTATTTAAAATAAACATCAAGAACAAACTTCATAAAATGCAAAACAAATCTACTTTGTTATCTAATTTACATTTATTATGAAGACTAGTAGAAAGTAGTTGGACCCCATGATCTCGGATTTGAATAAATTAACTGTTCAAGAGAAACTCTTATTTATACTGTCGCATATTTCTTGAAATATAATGCATCAGTAATTTACTTTACCTTTTAGGAGATAAAAGATAAAAATACCGGTCAGTCAAATGAAGTTGAAAGTACTGATGAAGAAGAAGGTTCAATGTTTAAGTCTACTATTGGAATCGTGCTAACTTGTTTGGGTTGTGTAGTTGGATATGGAAATATTTGGAGGTTTCCAAGAATTTTAGCAACTTACAGCTATGAAAAAGGTATGAATTTTTCTCTTTCAAAGCATTAGTATATCATCGTGATTATATGAATATCATTTCATTGTGTAATAATTTTGTTTAAAATTATTTCTAATGAGGTAGTATTGTGGAACTATTACTCGTGCTTATGAAACAGTTTGGCATTTCGGTTTCTATGTTTGATTTAAATGTAAACAAAGGAAATTCATTTACATTAAAAAAGAATGAGATTTAGTGTTGGGTTTTTTTAGTTCGAACTTTTAAACGCGGTTTTAAGGACTTCCGATTTCAGGTGAAAAACTCAAGAAAATAAGAAACATTATAAAGCGCAATATAGTTAGTTGACAGTTACTAGTCTTCAGTAATATATTCATAGATTTTAATGTTTATAATTGACTGTAAAAAAAGCATCACACTGACTTAATTAAGCCTGTCTGTTCCATAAAGTGTGAGTAAAACTATGCCTGCTCAAAGAATTCATTCCACTTAGTATAGATATTTAAGACCCTGCGAGATGAAGTATGCGCTAAAACACATTAGCATTTATGCTTGACAGTAGAGTGCAAATAGTCAAGAGTGTATTAACTGTTAAACTTATTTAAGAGATTTTATCATCTTTAGTAGGTAAGTGGCTAAGGAATTCACTATTTGCAACAATGGACTGAATAATACCCAATAAATTTCACAATCATTGGAAGTATGGCATCTCAGCGGTGAGGAATAGATGAACTCAGAAAAATTGCGCCATATACTATCTTTTTCTTGTGAAGTAAATATTGGTGTAAGAAAATATCCTCCGACTTCAAATATGTTTTCAATGATCTTATTTTAGATGTACAGGTGTTAGAGAACCGTTAAATGAGCAGTGTCTGTGTTAGGGATTGGATTTAAAAAATGTGAAAATTTCTTTCCGAAATTTTAGTCTTTTGTTCGGAGATATGGTTGGCAATATAAACTAGACAAAAGTATATTGTTCTTTATGATGGATCTCCTGGTGAAAAATCTCTTTACTTTCTTCTATCATATGGAACATCATATTTTCACCTTTTAATTGAAAACTGCTTCATAAACATTTTTTAATCAAATACGAAAGCATAAATCACTTCCAAAACGTGGTGAAAGAGAAACTTGAGGTGTGATTACGCGTTGAGTGCAAGGTAATGGATCTACATAGATACTGGATACTTTACAACTGTTATCTTCTTAGAATCACTCGTCTTTGTTGATTTTAAAACAATAGCACTAAACGTTCGAAAAGTGACGGCATAAGAGTGATGAATTCCACTGTAAGTGATACTTCGTGATACGTGTAAATATTATACTATATACCTATGAGTGATAAATTACTCAAAGCTGGATTTAGTTACAGTTAAAAACAGTCCTACGAGCAGTGTGAGACTTCAACACACATTCTCAATGACTGTGATACCAAGCGGTTCACTCTAGTCTGGTTGACAAGAGAAGTGCAATATGTGGTTGACATGGGTTACAGTCAATCACAGTCAACCAGACACATTCATGTCATCCCCACTTTAATGCCACCACAACAACATTCCTCTTTTCTATCTATACTTTCTTCACTTCTCATTCATATCTCCAATTTCGAGGTTTACATAGTGTGAAATCGAAAAACACTGTGGTGACTTGCCTCACATGAGCACAAGTATTCGATCAGTTAGTGTGGTGAACACGATGAAGTCATTTGATCTTTGATTTCGGAATATATTCTACTGAACTTCATACAATTGGTTCCCTTGATAAATTCAATAAAGAAAGGAAGACGAAATTTTCAGTATAAAATGATGTCATCATTCTATTTCACGGGTTCTCATCAGCTGCAGACTACCTGAAATTACAATGGTTTTATAAATGATAATAACATACATATGAACTGTGATCAAGATTTGACCGGATAGTTGCAAAACAAGTGGGCGCCGTGTGAGAAGTAGACATTTATAAAATTATATTTGTAAAATCTCAGCGAAATAGAAATGATTAATCGCAACGTTTCGTTCACTGAAATTGACATAACAGAGGTTTTTATACAAAAGGAACAACTCTTGTTTTTGAACCTTATCTTTTTATATATAAACATACAATTTTGTTTATTATACATGTTGATGACTGTTTCATGGCTCATGATTGGAGAAAGGTTCAAAAACAAGAGTTGTTCCTTGTGTATATAATTCTCTGTTTTGTTAATTTCGATTAATTTCCCTGAAGAAGTTCGGACCAGATTGCCGAACGAAACGTTGGAATTAGTCATTTCAATTTTACTGAGATCTTACAAATATAATTTTCAAGATAATAACATACTTTAATGTTTCAGTGGTAGTAGAGAAGAGATACTGTAAAACTGACGCATCCGAAGTGAAAGCATTACAATTTTAGTTTAAGTTTTCATCATTAATTAATACGCTTGAAGAGTTGAAAAGAGGGGGAAGGTGTAAGACAGAAAACAGAAAAAATTGATTAATTGAAAAGTGTAAGCTTGTATTATTGTAATCAACAATTAATCATCTAATTCAGTGATCTCAACTCACTGAACAAATCTTAATCTAAAAGTCAACCTGAACGAAGAATATTCTTTTCAATAATTTCTCTTCAGGTCATTACTGTAACCGCCTTTGTTTTTTAGAGTTGCTATTTGAACCTACAATAATTAGTCATCTAATTCAGTGACCTCAACTCACTGAACAAATCTTAATCACTGAATAAATCTTAATCTCATAAAATGTAACCGCTTTTGTTTTTGAGTTGCTATGTGAACCTACAAGCTAACACTTTTCAATTAATCAATTTTTACTGTTTTCTGTCTTACACCTTCCCCCTCTTTTCAACTCTTCAAGCGTATAAATTGATAATGAAAACTTAAGCTGAAAATTGTAATGCTTTCATTTTGGATGCGTCAATTTTACAGTACCTCTTCTCTACTACCACTAAAACACTAAATTATGTTATTATCATATATATAACCATTGTAATTTCAGGTAGTCTGCAGCTGAAAATTTCGTCTTCAAATGTCGGTTTGTAGGGATTGGAATTGGTAACAGGATTAAATCATGAGCTGACATCAGCGAGAGAACCACTGGAAAACCTGGAAGTACTGGACAGCTATTTCGTCCTGGTTTGGGACTCTACATCAGTGCGGGATTCGAACCCAAGACCTTCTGGTTACCAGGCAAGGTCGTATACCATTAAGCCACTGGGATCCGATTCAATGGCCCATGAATTCTAACTTCTGCCAATGTACGTCATAGCGCGACCCCTAGCCAATGTCTTCGGCGAGTTTTTGAAATCACACCAGACCTGCTCGCCTTGTAAACAGAAGGTCCTATGTTTTAACTCCGGTGGCCGCGTACTGATGAAGAGTCCCAAACCAGGACGAAAGAGCTGCCTAGTACTCTCAGGTTTTCCAATGGTTCTCCAGCTGATGTCAGCTCATGATGAAATCCTGTAACCAAATTTCATCTTCCTTTATTTATCGAAATATTCTACTGAAATTGATTTGTTTCGTACCACTGTGTGTGAGAATGTATGAGAGTGAGAAACAGAGAGAAAAATGTGATGACTTTGCTGAGTTTCTGAGATGGAAGGCAACTTTTGCACAGTTTAATAAACAGTACTGACTGACTTAATTAGATCTCTGGTTCTTGTGTCACATGAGACATTGAGGTTTTGTATTTTTCACTGGAAGAATGTTTGAATTTTGTATACTGTGATTGTGTGGTTGATTGTGATTGTTTCTTTCATGAAGTCAGGTGACTAATCATTGAATGAAATGTGCGGCAAATATCAACTGAGAGGATTTTTTTATATTGTGTGAAGCATAAAAATCAAGTAGTTGAATTATTGAAAATGCGTCACTCATATGTGAGGTATCTCCACATAGATGTATTTCATTGTGATTAGTATTAATTCAGCAGTATTAGATTCAACAATGAAGAAGAAGACATTAGTGACGCCTTCTATTCGTTTTTTTAGTGTTATCTTTTAGTCTAGTTGATCATTAGAGATGCTATTGCAAAGCATTTTCTGAAATGTTTCAGTGATCTCAGAAATTTGAAGCTTAGTTTTTACGACTTGATGAGTTCTAGCTGAAGCCATATTTTTCATTGTTGCATGTGACATACATATTCTCTATCTATGGATGCACTTCAGAAGCTTCGACGACGGTTTAGTAGACTATTTTTTCACTCGTCATGTATTATACTACTTAACTTCTTATATCTGGTCTTATTTTTAATTTAAGCAGGAAACTATTCATCCTACTTTCAAATGTCGTGAATTGGACACTCTAGGTGTATTTGAATGAGTATAGTTGTTTCTGAGGTATATGTCAAAACAAACATATCGAGTTCACCTCATTTCATAGAAAAATGATTATTCCCAGTTAGTTCTCTTGGAACTTCGTGTGAATAGGACTATGGAAAATGGTGTTTCGCTGTAAATTCACTTTCGTGGTAAAATTTCCGATTACGCCAACCACTCTTGTATTCATGTTTTCCTTCATCAACTCTTGGAATGTTAGACTATGTAATAGAATGAAAGAAGTGTATACAAAAGATGAATTTTTCAGTATGATTGCTACTAGCTTTGATTTACTAACTTCCTCCCTCCCTTCCTTCCTAATCAGTCTGGTAGTAAAACACCCTGATTCTCTGTATGTGTTTGATTCACACCACGGTATGTCTTCTACAGTTTACTCAATTTAGATTACAAAATGACTACACCAACGTAATGTATTAGGGTTAGAATTAATTTGCACTTCCTCCTTTCTGTTAAATTGCTTCCTTTAAATTGTATTCATTATTGATTAATAGAAATCACAGGCTTGTAAATTTATCCCTCTTTACAAAGAATTCGGAGGCTGTCATGTTTGGAGAAGCAGAGTCTCTGTATGTGTGTATGTTTGTGAAGTCAACTAAATGATTGTAAATTCTTCCTTTGATGGTCAGACTAAATTCGCTACGACGTATTCTTCTTTGGCTTTCACTGCAAAGTGGGAGAACTGATAAATCACATCCTCACCAGCACTGACACAACTACCGAGAAACCCTAAGTTACCGACTTCTTCTGAAGTTTTGCCTATGAGGGTGACTACTGACTTCTGAGAAACTTCAGACAATACTTGGTGCTTGGAAGGAGTAAAGCTCATGCCATAATTACACATGCTGACTTTCAAATGACCAAGTATGATTTGGGCGAATCATGCGTCATTACACATCAAGAAGATATTTTCTGCATACTGAAGGTTAAAAAATCCACACGATTATGACCACCCTTGCAAGCACTCACATTCTTCAGAGTTAGTTCATAGACAGGTAAGTTGAGTGGATAGGGTGATACTGTGCAACCCAGTCTAACCCACTATTGCGTGAAGATGGTTGTGTGACCTCACTTTACCTAGGTCGTTTCTGAATAGGGTTTTCAGGATGAGGTTAAATTTCTCAGGAGCCGTTGTCTTTGATGAATATTTCCAAAGAATAGTTTTGCCCAAACAATCGGAAAATTCCTTGTGGTCTAATTAAAGTTGAGAAATATAGTCTGAATTTTTTGACCTACTACTATGTAGACCCTATCGACCACCTAAACGACTCTCTCCAGACGTCAACCTTCTTCCCTGTGCATTCAAGTCCCCAGGTAGCATTGCGATGTCTCTTGGGCACGCATGCTTCGGAAGCACACCCAGCTGTTTGTAAAACGCATAAGTGCGTAAAGAACTGTTATTAAGAATCCAGCTGAATAATGCAGTTGCGGCTTTAATGCATAAAGGGATAACGACAACAGATGACCCAGTTGCCAACGCAATAACGTCGCCTGATAGGTGTACGAGTCGCGCATTGGTCGGTTATGTAGATGGAAAAGATGAACTTTATGATAATACCTTTTAAATTTCTTTTATTGTAATTGCATGTTTTTTTCCTTCACGTTCCCCAGTGGAACATTGGGCCTCAAGCTAGTGGCTTGAAGTTTCTGTAGCAGTGTTTAATTTTACAGGATGGGGTTGCTAGCCTCATCCCCAACCTTTACTCTTTACCAGCATTATTTCTGGCTCAGCGAGGTAAAGGAGTTCGTCGGCCGGGGATCGAACCCCGGACCATGTGCATGGTTGGCGAACGCCCTAACCGCTATGCCACCGACGTGACGTAATTACATGTACGGTCTTATCATTTCTGATCTGTTATAACTTGTTATTAACCATTGTTTGTATAGTTTTATTCTATAGAATTTAATTGTTATATAATGTTTTACATTGTATTTATGCATCTTTCATGCACGCATTGTTCATTATTTCGGATCACCATTTAATTATGACATAAAAAGGTTAAAAAGTAATTACATTTTCAGGTATAACTATCAACAGTTCTATTAAGCTATGAACTATACCGGTATAATTAATTTGAATTTCAGGTTCACTTACATTCTATTTGGTTTGGATATTTGTACTTTTTTTGTGGTCGGTTCCTATCGTGATTGTTGAGTATACCCTGGGTCGGTTTACACGCAATTCAATAGCTGGTTCATTCAATAAATTTTTTGGTGATAGATTTTCAAGTATTGGTGGATGGGTTGTTGCAGTGACATTTCTGCTAAGGTCTGTTATGTGAACATTTTTCCCAATGATTGTTTTTACATATCTTTGCTTCTAATCATACCTTAAGTTTTGAATACATTCATTTATGTTCATTTAATCCCTCTATTAGTATTTTATTTATTTATTTATTTAAACGCATAAAAAACTTGGTACAATATGGCACCAAGAAAGATGCGCCACACAATAATAATAAAACAACATAGATCAAAAAAAGGAAGAAAAAGAAAAAATATATATAAGTAGAGAACGGATAAAGAACTTCATCTGGAAGGAAAACAGTCATGCTTAACAAGTTCAAACAGTGTTCGTTAGCTATCATCGGGAAGGGAAGAAAGAAGGAAATTGCAACACATTCGCCACTGATTACGATTCTTGGCCATATCCGATAACGTTTCGAGCCATCGATTTGAGCTATCTCTCGGACCCCAACCAGGGAGTCGTGACACACCAACCGATGCTAATCTAGCACAAAAATCCTTCATCCCACGACGCCACGTCATGGACTGACCACCTCTCCGCCTTTTCCATCCCGTCCCAGGGCTAGCGAACAGAGACCTGTACGGAAGCCTCTGGGGTGACATTCGGAGCACATGTCCAAGCCACCGGAGCCGGTGTTTCCAGATGACGACATTCAATGAATGGTGATCTCCACTTTGTTCAAACACACGCCGCCGAACCTCAGAATTACTCACGCGATGATGCCATCGAACGCAAGCAATCCTGCGGAGACAGCGGTGATCGAACACGCAGAGTCGCCGCACATCCTCAGCTCGGAGAGGCCAGGTTTCACAGGCGTAGAGCAGCGCAGCCCGCACCGAAGCATTGTATACCCGACCTTTGACAGCCAGGCTAACGTCGCGACGGCGCCATAGGTGGCTCAAGTTGATGTATGCCACCCTAGCCTTCATTATACGGTTGGAAATCTCATCCGTCACCCCTCCGCCAGCACTCACACAACTACCCAGGTACACAAACTTATCAACAACTTCAAGCGGTTCACCCGCAAGAGTGAGTGCAGGTACAGGCTCCTGCCAATCTTGTAACAGTACTTTGCACTTAGACGGCGCAAAGCACATACCATACTTACAGACACTGATCGCCAACTGATTAAGTGCGATTTGGGCAGCCTGCATGCTATCGCACAGTAAGACGATATCGTCTGCATACTCGAGGTCGAAAAGTCTATCTCCAGGTAGCAGATCTACACCACCTTCACGCACATCCTTCAGAGCTGACTCCAGAATGTCATCGATGGCAAAGTTAAAGAGAAATGGAGAGATTGGGCAACCCTGTCTAACCCCACTGTTGGTTGGGAACAGTGGTGATAGTTGGTTGTATGCCCTCACTCTACCTGAGGTGTTTCTGTATAGGGCTTTCAGGATGTTAACAAATTTCTCAGGTACACCTCTCTCTAACAGACAGTTCCAGAGCACAGTTCTGTCCAACGAATCGAAGGCAGCCCTAATATCAAGAAACACAACGATCGTTGGCCTGCAATACGTGTGGCGGTGTTCCAACAACTGACGAAGGGTGAACACATGATCAATGCATCCACGACCTGAACGAAACCCAGCCTGCTCTTCGCGAATCAATCCTTCACGTATTTTGCACAGTCTGCGAAGCAAGACAGCAGCCAATATTTTAGACGCGACTGGTAACAGACTGATACCCCTATGATTGTCACACGAATTACGTCGACCCTTTTTAAAGATGGGGACGATAATGGCTTCGTTCCACATTGATGGTACACTCTCTGTCTCCCACACCTTCCTGAACAACCCAGTTAGAGCCATTGTGAGAGTCTCGCCACCATCTTTAAAAAGAGCCGGGGGTAATTTGTCTGGGCCGGGCGCCTTATGGCGTTTCAGAACTTGGAGTTCCTTACGGACCTCCGCTTCGGTGGGTGGGTCGGTACTAACCGACCAAGGAGCACTCGGGCTAATGATAGTAGACACTGAAGCTGGTGGCCAGCTGAACTGCTTCCCGAAGTGCTCTGCCCAGCGTTCCAGGCGTCTTTTCAGGCTGGTAATTGGAGTGCCATCTGCCTCACAGACCGTCTCGCTGACACCTTGTTTCTTGCTGCCGGTGGCTCGTATGAGTTGGAACAGCTTCCGACTGTTGCCAGATGCAGCAGCTGACTCCATCTCACACGCACGTTCTGACCACCAGGCTTCGCGGTCCTTACGTAAACACTGTCTAATCTTGCGCGTGAGCGCCTTTCGCTGATTGTTGTATTCGCTGCCAGCCGGAATGGACCGGCGTTCATCCATGAGTTGCAAGGAACTCGCAGAAACCCAGTGGTTGTTAGCGGAGCATTCTTTCAAGCCGCAAGCGGCTACACTCGCCTTTTGCATGGCACCTTGCACATGAAGCCAATGTTCATCTATACTACTTGGGGGGTTGCTGGCAAGCATTGTTTTTAACTCATTCTGATATTTCAAAGAAGTAGCAGGTGCTACTAGTTTGCTCACATCAACGCTTAGACGACGGCTTTTACGAACCCCACCAAATCGCAAGACGAACTTGGCACACACTAACGCATGATCGGAGTCCAGGCATGTGCTCCAGAAGGAGCGACAGTCTTGTATGCATCCTCGCCACCGGAAACTGACCGCGATATGATCAATCTGAGTCCAAGCTTGCTTCGCAGAGGGAGGACGCCAGGTAGCGCTACGGCGATGGCTGTGCCGGAAGTTGGTGCTAGCTAGAAATAGGTTGTGATCCGCGCAAAGCTGCAGAAGACGGTCCCCATTATCTGACCTGCGACCATGTAGTCCCCACTGACCACCTAGACGATTCTCCTCTGAGCTTAGACGCCCCACCTGTGCATTCAAGTCCCCAGCCAGCACTACGATATCCCTCCGACCCGCCTGTTTCAAGAGATCGCTCAGTTGGTAGTAAAACTCATCCTTCATTGCATCCGGGCTGCAATCCGTCGGTGCATAGGCAGAGACAACAAATAGACACCGCCTATCTGGCCTACTACTCCTTACTTTCGTATAACCTTCCAGCCTCACAGCACATAAACGACTGTTAATGGGAATCCAGTCGAGCAGTGCAGCTTCGGCTCTAGCGCTCAGTGCGACACCGACACCAGCTACGCCGGATGCCGACGCCACAGGGTCCCCGGATAAGCGCAGGTGGTACATACTACTAGAACTTCCAGATGGAGAGGATAGTCGAAGCACTTCACTGGGATCTTGAATGCGGGTCTCCGAAATGCAGCAGACATCGATAGCGAGGCTTTCCAAAGTTCTTGCCAACCCTGCCTGTTGTCCGATTTGCATCAGCGTCCGAACATTGTAGGTAGCCAGCTTGAACGCAGCACGCGGTTTCAGGATATCCGTGTTAGATGTCACATTGGGAACAACCATTTTGAGGACTACTCACTAACATCTCGAAACGACACGGATAGGCTGGGAATCTCGACAAAGGCGAAAGGCTGTCGAAGGTTAAGAAGCCAAGGTTAGAAAAGGTACAATACAGGAAACTATGTATAAAAATAAAAGTAGGGTAGGAAGGAAATAAGTTCCTTGAGGGATCAATATTGCTTGGAATCATTTTTACTAGCGCGCGTTGAGTTTCAATGGGAGTTCGTTGCTTTAATTCATTCATTGTGTGCGGGCTGAGATACTGCCCGGGCGCCCAGACCGAAGCAGGTGGTTTTATTAAGGGACCACCCCCGAGCCTTTGACTTGGAGTCTAATCCGCAAGGCAGCGGAGCAGCGTCAGGAGCTGCATTCCCATGGTTGCCGGTGACCCATGTGGGTTCATACGCCATTTGATCCGATTGGAAACTGGAGCCCATGTACCCCATGGTAACTGCTTTTAGTTTAACCGCTATCCAGAAAACCTTCCTGACATGGTAGGACCTGTAGAGACAGAGTCCCAGTCAGTTCAGCTTGTTGGGTCATTGCGGTATTCAAGCCCGACCACCACGACAAGGTAGCAGCTATCGGCCGGGCCTCTATTAGTAACTGATAAGTTTACTACCTAACAAAATAATATTTATATTTTGTTATCTTATATCTGTCTATTCTAAATACGACATATTGAAGTGATAAAATCCTATTGTAGATTATATGTTCATTTATCAGTAAGTCACTGGCTAAATGAAGACGTTGTACCTGTTTCGAGTAATAATGCAGGTGTGGAAGTTGTGGAAGTAGTGATTTATTTTGTAGTGCATACTTCTTTTTTCTGAGTAAAATATGAAGGATATTTAGAGTGGCCTGTGAGTTAGTAACTTCGAAATTAAACAAAAGAAACGTTTCTTTCAGATTTTAGAAATTTTTTGATCTTTTTCACCGTCATCCAGATATGACCTAAAAGTTTAAGGAGTGATTAAACTACGTGATATAATCAACCACACATACAGACAGACAGCAGAGTTGAACTTAGTGCAGGTCGTCTTTTGTTATTTTAATTTAGTGAAATAATATTACCGGATGAAGAAAACATTTTTGATATAAGAATAAAACTTGTGCACTGTGGTAGAGTGTAATTCCATTATGGGTAAATTTTGTTTTGATAAAGTCTCACAGTGCTATACAGTAATGTTTACTGATGACGTTTCGAGCACAATTTATTGCTCATAATCATATCAAAGTAATCACACGACTTCCTAAATTCATTTATATAGTTCCATTGTTTTTCTCTTGATTTTCACTTGATTTGATTGGTAATAGTATTTTCCATATCTCAGGTATGAATGACGAGTCATTCCTATTGCATCGATGAACAAGGATTCAGTAATCAACCTCTCTCTCCACCTACCTAGATTACTTTTTAGAATTTTAACCCTCTCCCACCCTATTGTGTGGTTGTGTGTTAGCGCATGCATTGCAATTGCTGAGCTTTTTTCTAAATTACTTATCTTCTCGGGGTCAACCATTCTTACCTTAGCTAAATTCTTATGCTCTGACAATCTGACTACCACTGACCTACTAGTTTGACCTATGTAGTTGACCTCACAGTCATTGAATGGTATTTTGTAAATAATATTATTTTGTCTAATTGGGTCAACTGGGTCCTTTAACCTACAGAGCTTGTCCCTGAGTGAGTTTGTAGGTTTAAATGCCACCCTAATTCCTATTTTATTCAGAATCTTACGTAGTGTCTCAGATGTCCCCTCTTTATATGGTATAACTGTGGATGACTTATATTCTTTCTTATTTATGTTATTATTACTAGTTTCACAATTATTTTTATTTTGCTTTTGGCCTTTAATGATCTTCCTAATGAATTTTATAGGATAGTTATTCAACACCAACGCTTCTTCTATCTGTTTTAATTCATCATTTAGATCTTTTTTTGTGCTACTTAGTGCCACTGCTCGGTTCGTTAAACATTTAACTAAGCCTGCCTAAACAGTTAAAGGATGAGACGAATTAAATTCTAAATATCTATTAGAATGAGTTGGTTTTCTATAAACACTAGTGTGTAGTTTGCCTTCTTCTATTCTTTTTATCTTACAATCTAATATAGCTAATTCTCCTTGTTCATTTTCTGATTCAAATGTGAATTTTATTCCCTCAACTTGTGAGTTTATATGTGTCAAGAAGTTAGAGATGTGTTCTGTTTTTAACACTGTGTGTGAAAGTGTCATCCACATATCTCCACCATATTTTCGGAGTAGGGTTAAATGTATTGAGGGCACTATTTTCCCAGCTGTCCATAAATATGTCTGCTACGATAGGGGATATTGGTGATCCCATTGCTACACCTTCTGTTTGTCTATATATTTTGCCTTGGAATTTAAAGATAGTAGATGTGAGACATAACGGAATTCCTAAAATAATTTGTTTAGTGGGCAGCTTTGTCCTATGATTCAGTTGAGGATCCGCAGTTAGTTCTTTTCTAACTGCTTCTAAGGCCATATTAACTGGTATATAAGTATAAAGACTAGTTATATCAAAACTAACCATTGTTTCGTCATTCGCTAGTTGAATGTCATTTATTTTATTTTTCATCTCATATGAAATAGTTGCTCTAGAGTTTGAATGATTTCTAATGGGGCATAGTATTAGAGTTAAGTGTTTTGATAATTCATACGTGGGGGTATTTCTAAAATCTATTATTGGTCTTATGGGGTAACCTGGCTTATGTATTTTTATAGTACCATATATTCTACTAGCATTATTAGTTTTAGGCATTAAATTAAACCATTTAGACTCACCCAGTGATGGCTTCATTCTGCGTATTAGTTCCGCTGTAGATTTCTTAACCTTATTCATTATTGTATCTACAGGCTTCTTAATTTCCTCATATGGACCCGTTTAAATATGTTCAGTACATTACTGTATAACACTGTGAGACTTTATCAAAACAAAATTTACCCATAATGGAAAACATTTTTGGTTAAATTTATTTTTGGAGAATTCCTTTCATTTCAAAAGTTTCTCCAGATGTTTTCTAAGATCACAAATTTTGAAAGAAACTATACATATTTTTTACTGAGTACACCCATGTGTCCATGAAATCTTTAGTAATGAATTACATGTATTTTAAGATATGTAATCAACAGCTGTCTTCGCTCAGTACTCAAGATCAGATAGCCAAAAATGATCAGGTACAGAGTCCTCTGTGAGCAAACCAACCAGGAACCGATTGTGAAACAAATATGCAGGAAGAAATGGAGGTGAGCTGACAGTACTCTGAGAAAACCATCAAGCGAAATCACACGACAGGCCATCGCTCGAGTGGAACCCGAATGGGAAGTGGCCAGTTGATCGTCAGTGTGAGGGTGACATGGAGGAGGTCATGTGAAGAGGAGATGAAAGCGTGTGGGCAAACGTGGAGCCAGGTAAAAACGTTGGCAAAGAACGGAATGGAATGAATACGTGCGGCTGAAACCATATGTTCCTCTAAGAACTAAAGGAAACAATAAGGAATAATAATAAGATATATAATCATAAGAGGCTGGTAATTTACAAACATGGTTTGTGACACATATGAAATGTGGTCAAGATTTGTCTGAATAGTTCCAAAATAATTGGGCGCTAAGTGAGAAGTAGACATTTGTAAAAAATTATATTTGTAAAATCTCAGCGAAAGTGAAATGTTTAACTCTAACGTTTTGTTTGCCAATCTGGTCCGAACTTCTTTAGGGAAAATTAATCGATATGAGACATTTGAAAATTAAACAGAAGATTTAGTGTATCCATGAATTTAATTTAAAGTTCTGGAATACATTAATTGTTTGGAATAGTTAGAGATTGAATTCTGCAAATCTCTGTGTCATTCATTGTACACCGAAATCAGTAGTGTCAAAGAATAATTTTATGATGCATGAGCAAACTGAGTCAGTAGCACAGTAGTTAGGACGCTCGCCGACTATGCACATGGTCCGGGGTTCGATCCCCGACCGACCAACTCCTTTACCTCTCTAAGCCAGAAATAATGCTGGTAAAGAGTAAAGGTTGGGGATGAGGCTAGCAATCCCATCCTGTAAAATTAAACACTGCTACACAAACTTCAAGCCACTAGCTTGAGGCCCTATGTTCCATTGGGGAACGTGAAGGAAAAAAAATGAGCAAACTAGCGATAGTTTATACTTATATCTTATGAGTGATTGTAATCAGTATTACTTAAAAAAAAAAAAAATTTATTATTTGAAAATCTGCATTTAGCGCATATTATCCAGTGATTATTGGCTGGTGCTTGTATTACTCTTTTACGACTTGTTTCTTTGGTCTGCCTGCAACTGAAGCGGAAAGTACAGAAAGCTTTAATAAATATGCTATGGTAAGTAAACATTAGTCTACTTTTTCAATAACAGTAATAAAGTTATATGAAAATATAATATTACTTCTCTTTAGAATTAATAATAAAACATAATAAATGTTTTACAGTGAAATCGATGGCTTTTGCATTTTCTTTAATCTCAGATATTATTTCCCTCATGTTATGTAAAAATGTGTTTACTATTGAAAGACCTCTGTAATAATTTAGCCTTATTAAGGAAACGAGGAGACAGGGATATCCTGGATCGACGTGAAGAACCTTGAAGACCTGGATTTCTTGCGTGGATGATCTATGTTTGATGTCATGCAAAATCGAAGACTTACAAGCGAAAACCGACAAACTGGTCGAAGAAGCAGACAGTGAAGACAGGACTCTTGGTGAACATAGACAAGACGGAGGTTATGAAAATAACCAATCAACAACAACAACAGCGCTATCCAGTGCCAATCACCATCAACGGGAGGGATTTGAAAGAGGTTACTTCATTCACTTATCTAGGGAGGGAGCATTGTCTCAACTACGACCAGTCGGAACGGACGAGGATGTCAAATCGAGTGAGAATCGGGAAGACAGGCGAGAAACACATTCATCAACCTGAAACCAATCTGGAAATCTTCGTCACTCAACCAGTACCAACAACAAAATTCGGTCGGATTTTCAATACAAACGTCAAGTCAGTCAGTTCTTCAATACGGATCAGAAAGTTGGCGGGCGGGTAACAAAGAATATTTCCAACAGCCTGTTGCAGACGTTACCTTTATCAACCAACAACTGTCTTCGCTGGATCTATACTGAAGATCAGATGTCGGGGCCGGAAACAATCACCAACAGGAAACTATGGCTGGGAACAAACAAAACAAGAACCAATCGCCAAACAACAAATATGCAGGAGAAAGTGGATGGTGATGGGTTGGGCACTCGCTGAGGAGGCCACTGCGTGACGTCGCGCGCGCGTCAGGCCATTGCTCGAGTGGAACCATGCCGAGAGGGAAGCGGCGAGTGGGACGTCCAAAGGCGATATAAAGTAGACCGTGTGAAGAGGAGTTGAAAGAGTGTGGACTAACATGGATGCAGGTGAAAAGCACAGCAGAATACAGGAGCGAGCAAGTGGAGACGTGCAGTTGAAGCCCTATGTTCCACTAGGAACCCATGGGAACAATAATAATAAGGTTCCTACATCAGAAACTTTATTACAAAGAAGTAGATATGTCCCCTATACATGTCGTATATGCAGCTTCCTAGTTATCACTTTTCTTGATCGTACGTCATCTTCATAACGTTTTCAGAATTCTCGACTAACCGATATTTCATATGAAACCGTTCAGCTCATACTTTTCATCAAACAATTTTGCCTACACCTCTACCTACACTATTTTCATGACTTTATAGGCTAAAGATAAATTTTTGTAATGATAACACATGATTTATTTTTGAATAAAATCAACGGTAATATAATCCTTGTCTTCCCGCCAGATAAATACTTTCCCAAAGACTTGTTATTTGATGTATTTACATTGTCTCTGGATCCGTATATTACTAAGACTTTATTTTGTTAAAGCTGATCTGTACTATTTTGCTTGATTATTTGGTTGTACTGATCTTAAATGTTGAGTCATGTCTGAGAAAATCCACAAATATGACAGGATCAAACCGTGTCGCTATTTGTCACTAAAGTTTTTTTGGAACTTAGAAGCATCAACTCAGAATAGATAGTTTTCTACTGATGGAATCTACTTCAGCCTGTGCATTAATATGATATGATGATTATTTATCTCCTCAGTAAGCGTCCGGTAAAAGCAGCATATCATATCTGTATCTCAGTTGAATCACTTGCCACAGTTGTCAGTGATACTTCATAGAGATTTTATTGAATTAAATCGTGTCTGACAGTTATAGATTCACCCTTATTAATTGCTTGAGATGGTATGAGTCCAGGATACTTTTCCCTGCGTATGTCGTGTCTAGTCTGACAAGGATAGAAGTTTCCCTAATCTTTAATCAACTACTATTCAGCTAAGCTCACCGACCATGCATATAGTCCGGGGTTCGATCTCCTGCCGACGCACTCCTTTACCTCGCTAAGCCAGTAGAGAGACTGGTAAAGCGGAAAGGTTGGGCATGAGGCTAGCAACCCCATCTTGCAAAAATTAACACCACTACAGAAATTTCAAGCCTGTATCTTGGAGCCCTATGTTCCACTGGGGAACGTGAGGGAAAAAATATTCAACTAAGCTAACAATCCAAAATCTATTTTAGGGGAAGAGATGAAGCATGACAGTAAAATGAAAGAAGTGAAGTTAGATTATTGAAAACTGACACAAGGCAGCAAAATACCCGACAGTTGGTATAGCAATGAACAGAAAATGAATAGCTCCAAAGTATGAGTAATTACAATGGTCTGAATCCAAGTGTATGTATGTTGATGCTAAAATTGCAGTGCAAATTTACTCTTGAATTCACCCAACACATAATTAATGAGCTGTCTACCCCCATTTTTCCTAATATGTTTGCTTTCAATCAGAAATTACTTAATCTCTTCCCAAGTAAGTGGTTACTTTATTTTATTTCCTGTTTAATTTAATTCTGTAGGAATCATATTTGCCTGTTCTCACACAGTGTATGAGTGTGGGTCTTGCAGCCGTTTCTGTATTTGGTGGTATCAATTGGATTGAGAGAGTCAACAACATACTAGTTCCTTTTCTAGTCTCTATAGTGATTTTCACATTTGGTTGGGCACTTACACGACCTTATTCAGAAGTAGGGATAAAATTCTTGTTTACACCAACATGGAGTAAGTTCCTTTTATTCTGTTGGTTTTATGAGAAGTAAAAAAATATTATTCTACGACTAGAAAGATAATGTCATTTAAGGTGGCCGAAAAACTATGTATTAAATAAAGAACATTCTATTTAAAAGACAATAAGATAAAATGATGAAATGTTTAAATATTTCAAGGGAAGTTAGATTCTTCCTTGGCATATTTACTGAAAACTTAGAGTTAATTAAAATAACTGGAAAATGTTAAAGAGAAGTATGTAAAATGAATGAGTTGAAGTTAGTCAGTAGACAAGTGGTTATTATTCTCAACATTCTATTGAATTCGAAATCATAACCAGATAGTTTGTTGATAACGCTTGTTCACTGTTATTACTAAATTTTTATTATATTACTATTATTTTATCGTTTAGTTCCTAGAGGAACATAGGGCTTCACCTGCGCGTCTCCATTGCGTTTGGTTTTCTGCCAAATTTTTCACCTCGCTCCAAGTCTGCCCACACTCTTTCATCTCCTCTTTACATGACCTCCTCCAAGTCACCCTCGCTCTGACGACCAACTCGCCACTTCCCTTTCGGGTCCCACTCGAAAACAATAATTTTTAACCTATGAAATAGTGTGTATTTAGAGGAAAATAAAGGCATTCAGAACTTTGAATTTTCAGGGAAAATAAACTGAAACGTCTCAATAATTTTGATCGTGTGAATGACTGAGTCAGTTCGTCATATTTTTAGATTTGGTTTATGCGTGACACATTACTAATGACTCCTAATTTACCTAAGTTTGTATTTGAGAATGCTTCAACCATTCCTTACATTACCATACAAATACAGTTTTGTTTAAATTAATCACAGGATGTGAGTTTGTTTAGACTTTATCTTAATCAAGTGTTAAGATATATATTGATCAAGAGAACATCAGTATCAATTGCCACAGTGCAAATCTTTAGTGGAAGATATGCAAGTGAAAAGCAACAAGCTGGCAGAAGAAGCATCGAAGATAGCACTACAGGTGAACGTAGGTAAAACAGAGGTGATGAAGATTCCTGGCCAACACCAGCAACAACAACAACAACAACAGACTACAATCATCCAGCATAAATGGGAGGAACCTGAAAGAAACAACCTCCTTCACCTACCTACCTGGGAAGCATCGTTTCAATTTCAGGTGAACGGAACTGACGAGGATATCAAAGCCAGAATCAGAAAAGCAAAACAAGGTTTTACTACTCTTAAGTCTGTGTGGTGGTCAACAGCACTCCTCACCATGAAACATAAGATCCGGACTTTCAACTAGAATGTGAAGTCAGTCAGTGCTACTATACGGATCAGAGACTTGGCCAGCGCGTCATAAAGAGCATCTCAAACAAACTACAGACCTTCATTAACAGCTCTCTTCGCCAGCTACATACTGACGATCAGATGGCCAGAAAAGATCAGCAACAGGGATGGATCTCTGGTAATGAGCGAACCAACCCAGCAGGAACCAATGTGCAACAAATAGGCAGGAAGAAATTGAGACGGATTGGCTTGGCCATACTCTGAGGAAACAAACCATCAAGTGACATCACTAGACAAGCCATCGCTCCAGTGGAACCCGAAAGGAAAGCGGCAAGTTGGTGGTCAGTGCGAGGGTGACTTGGAGGAGGTCATGTAAAGAGGAGATGAAAGCATGTGGGCAGACTTGGAGCAGGTTGAAAAAGTTGGTAGAAAACCGAAGGCAATGGAGACGCGCAGGTGAAGCCCTATGTTCCTCAAGGAATTAAAGGATATAATAATAATAATAGTAAATCTTTAGTGAGAGTCTCAGGATAAAAAAACGCGTACTTCAGCGAAGAGTCTCTTCTTGGCGATTTCACTTAGTTTTTGCAATCACAATTATATACACTTATTTGTGTGTGTATGTGTGTACATTAAGACTGTCTGATAAGAATAAAGATAAGTTAAGGTTATCAATACATTTCAAAAGTGTGATGAGTAATCAAATTGTAACTAGTGGGTTGGAGATTGGTAAGAGGATAGGTGTGATGTGTTATCAGAAAACAAAAAAAACAGTTATTGATGTTAATAAACACATAAAAGAAGTTGAATAAGCGTAACACAGTTACATATTAAGATGAATAGTTAAATGAGTGAGTTGTGATTAGGATGCAAATGGAAACAAAGGAAAGTATGGAGTTATTTAGAAGTTCTAAAATAACAAATGTTATATGGAGTTCGAAAAAAACAAACAAACAAATATCAAACCAGTAGAAGTCAACACGGTTGTTACCATGATTGCAGAAGTGGTTGGATGATTTCTTTTTGTGCACGTAACTCTGGTTTCTTCAACTAAAATAGCTAAGGATTCAGCAATAAAATGGAGACGAAATTGTATTGCCTTTGGTAATTTCTTCTTCACTTTGTAGATCACTTTGAAGGAGAGGTTGTTGAGATGCAGTGACCAGTCTTGACGAGATGTTCGATGATAGCACTCCGTATACAGCCACTATTACTCTTTTGTAGCCATGTGGGATAGTAATCTTGAACCCTTTTGGTCGGGATACGCGTCCAACAACCGATGTATCTGGCTCCACAGCAACAGGCTAACTGATATAAGCACATTAAAGTGACCAGATGCGGGATCCTGTCCTTAAAGCCTATGTAGATCAATGGGCAACTGGAGAACACTACTCTTAGAGTTGCTGAGAAGAACATTCTTTTCAAAGATGCTGAAATTCTTCTCTTGAGGATAAGGCAGGCTAAGTCTCCTTTGAAATCCAGATCCATGTAAACTATCTTTTTTGAAACAAGTGGTGTTTCGTTTCTTTAGACCTTTGTTCTGATATTTTTGTCGGTGAATCTTGGCGGGAATCTGTTTGGGATTAAGATTTCTTTCAAAAGATTCAGCTCTGATTCCCGGTCGTTTGGACTGCATATGCGTCGGGTCTGAGTGGCAAGGTATTTAATCAGATTTCGTTTCCGCTCAAAAACTACCCAAATGTAGAAATTTGTTAGTTGACTGTTCCAAGTGAGTTTTCTATCGAGTGACGTTCTTAATGTTCAGTCAGGTCGTCTTGTTAATTGCACATCAAGAAAGGGAATTTCGGATTCACATTCCATTTCTGGAGTGAATAACGAGTCACTGAGAGAATTAGTCGACATATTTTGTTAACATAGAAAATAATTAACATCTTTCACTGAAAAACTCTTTTCGAATGAATTCCTTACATGAATTTCAAATATGTGTATAAATTTCACGGTTGACGGAGAATGAGATTACACATTTAAAATGTCAGTCTAGTGTAAGAGGATATGGACGATAACACACTGCTGATACTTATTCATAAGAAAGCAGTCTAAGTCATAATTTATGTGTTAATTTAAACAGTAATACGAGTCACTGATTCTGTGAGCTACAGAATCATTATAATCTTCTGAAATCATAAACCTGTTTGTGAATCTAATGAAATTCAATTAAAGTACCTAAATGGACAATATTCTCAAAAATTTATAAAAGTAGTCATTCAGAAATACACCTTTTTAAGAAATCTTTTGTCATGAAAGAGTGTTGTAAACGTCATTTATGCTTCAAGCATTATTTACTTATCGATTTATTTAGGAGTGCAGGATTAAACACCTTCGAAATAGATTCTACTCTGGTATTTAGTTGTATAAATGCGTCTGGCTTGTTACAAGGATATTAACTTGCTACTTTGAATCACTTTATTTACATAAATAATTTTAAATGCTTCTTTAGGGTTGATTATACCTAGGACTGTAAGCTGGTCTCTGCTAACATGTCAAATAGGAAAAGCTTAGCTAAAAGTATAAATACGGATAGACACGTTCATTCATTGCTAAACACTTTGTCTAACGACATCAATCAAGACTTTGTTATTCATCCCTTGGACATAAGAGATATGAAGCCATGCTTCAACTTATCTATATATAATTAAGTGGCAACATGATAACATAATACAGAGCATCTCTTCCTGTTTAGATTTCTGCTGAATTGGATTTAACTTTACTTCATTACTCAGGTATATTGTGCTTTTGTTTCCGTGTGTAACTGCTCTAAAGATTTTAGCCTCTCCACCTATTTATATTTCAAAGTAGATTAAACAGCTAAGAAAATGAATTCGCCGAAAAGAGACTCTTCGGTGATCTACGTGTTTTGTTTTCATTAAAACGATCATAGTAAAAAATGTATACTTCATTCTTTGAGTAGACCCTAGTACCAGAAATTTATACAAAACAACTTTCTGTGCATTTTATCAATAAAAGCATTCTAATATAGAATGTTTATAATGTTAACGTATGCATCATTTCATTCCATTATTTTCAAAGCAATATAAAATAAGTCATATGTCTAAGCTCTATTTTTCTAGACCGTCTCAATACATAATTACTACTGTCATTCAAAAGTCAAAATAAAAAAATGTTAAACACAAAAAAAAATCAATAATTAATTCACTCATAGTTCATTGTCATATTTCTTTGTATTGTTTTTGTAGACAGATGACTACAAATACAGCATATATATATATATATATAACTTCGGTGAGAGCTAATGTCTTAAACAACTTACAAGAAATCTAGCTCTGCGGTTTTTAAATTTTATCTCATTAAGGCTTGTTCATTAGGAATTGCCATGGTTCGATTCTATTGTTTTCTGTTAAGGCACGACCTGTATTCCCATTTGTACTTTTCAGACTGTCTGAATATTTACATAATGTTACTTCATAATATTTACTCTAAATGCTATTAATTATTCGCTTATGATATGATGCCACAAGTCAAATTATGAAAACAAGCAATCATTTGTATTGAAAACAACTTGATTTTAGCGCTTGAGTTGTTTGAAACTTATCCACAATATAAAAATGATGCTTCATATGGTCAAGTCATAGTCTTCACCATAACGAAAGATAACCTAAGTGAATTTTGACATTAGAATAGTACATTGATATACTTTTCATTGTTTTTGTTTATTTCTATATATGTCATAAAAGATGAGTGAATAATTTGCTGTAGA